CATGGGCTTCTTTTCGAGATAGTACAGTAGGCCTGTTATACTGTAAATGAATTTCAAAGAAAAAGGGATAAACAATGAAAAACACACTTGGCTTTTTTAGTAGTTTAGGTGATTTAATGCCAATTAATACACTCCATGATACAGATTGATGTTCTCTCTGATGTTGTGTTTGGATAAAAATACTGTACTGTAATTTTAAATAACGGATCCCAAGTTTTAAACATTTTTTCAGTACTCCTATTGTTTTATAGTAGTAATTCCCAAAATTGGCAGCATTCGTTTTAAAAAAGAAGCCCCCTCCCCTGCTCCTCTTTACTTTGCAATTGAAAAGTAGCCCATCAAAGAAGCCCATCCAACAGTCCTAAATAAAAGAAGCCCAGGGCTTTTATTTAAGGTTTTACGGTATATGGTCATGATGTGCCTATATATGGTCATGATGTGATGTCATCATGACCATATTTAGGCAAGTCAGATGTTTTTGTCAAATAAAATTTGATAGTCTCAACAGTGCTTTAAGTTCTTGGCTTCAATCCACATCATTATTACCATAATATTTATTTTATAATTAAAAATTGCAACTTCTCCACACCTCACAAAGAGATGGTTGTAAAGAGCATCATTAGTTTCAACAGGTTCCCAAGTTGAAAGAAGCCACAGTACTTACAGGAGATCTTGTTTTAAAATGAGCTTTCTTAACACGTCCAAACTATATTTTGCTGTGCATGGAGATACCCATTTGACCATTTGATAATACAGTAGTACAAACATGTAAATATAATGTATTTGTAGGAAATTGGTTAGTTTCCGGTGAAATTTTTGCTTTCCTGCGGGAAGCAACATGATTTCCAGGACCCCTGGTCTCATATGACCATCTCTGTATTTGTAGGCTTCATAAGATTCCAAAGGATTTGCTTCACCTAGATAGAATATTCTTAGTGAATATGGTGTTCACCATTCAAAGCAAACCTTTTAAACTGGAAATACTTGTGTATGTATTCTGTTATTTTTAGCTCTTTACATTGAGTATTCTGTAGGTCTGTAGAAGGTGGTATTGCTCTCATTATAGAGTAATGTACTCCACAAATATTATAATAATAAAAATAATATACTATATGCATTTTATGGGATAAAATTAAAAGTGTTATAGAAAGCCTCACTTGTCAAATAGATCAATAGTTTTAACAATCGTACAATGCAATGCATGTTCTAATCATAATCTCATTTATTGCCCATCATTTGACAATTTATGACTGTTAATTTTGAATAAATAATGGCATGTTATAAATTGTGTTGTAGTAACATTTCAAAATTGTGATAATTGTTTATTATTTTAGCTTGGTGGTGAAGCAGGGGTTAGTTCAGCGCAACTACAAAAAGTGAAGACTCTGTTTCGGATAATGCCATTCGTCATGCTTCCCTTCATTGCATCCATGCCCAAGGTAAAGATAACCAGTATAAGAAGTAATGTCGAATAATTGATTTTCAACAATATCTTTTAAGTAAAACCTGCATGTAAAAGGAAATGGTTCATGATAATATTGTTTTTATATTACATCTCAAATGCGCTCAACATTCCTAAAATTATATACAATTTAAAACAACTAAAATTTTTAAACAACTAAAATTGAATAAAACCTGTAAACATATGTTAATTAGTAATTTTTCAATTATAACTACAGTTGCACAGCCAATCCATTCAATCTTCGATTCATCATGGTAATTTTCTCTTGGAAACCATAGTTTTATTGCGTAAATGTATTCTAAAGCTGGGCAGACGTTGTCGGCCAACGAATCCATCTCTGCTTTCTGTAAGCACTTGACGACTAAGTGTCGTCTGCTTATTATTGGTAGCAGTATGAGCAGATTGTCCTTAACAGCAATCCTCCGCATGTGCCTTGTCGCTTTCTCAGAGAAATCGCATCAGCCAATGATTGTCTGCGCAGTGTGTGCCCAGATTAACAAACCATGTTTTTTTCCCTTTGTAGGCTGTTTTCTGTTACTGGATAACTTCCAACTGCGTATCAATAGCTCAAGTTGGATTGTTAAAATTCCCTGCTGTCCGCGATGCCTTGAAGATTCCTAAACGTATTAAGCACAAACCCGGTGACATGCCAAAGCAGGAAGGCTTCGTAGCAAGTGTGAAATCAGGTAAATGTTTCTATATTTTTGCCGTTACAAAAATTGGGTTGTTAGGGATTATGTTTTAAATATGGAATGTAAAGTACTTAACTTGCTATACATAAATTACTACAAAGGAAAGGCTAAATAAAATATTATAACAATAACAGAAATAATAATTGTTGTTGATATTTTACGGTAAATCCTGTGTTTTATTACATTTCTGTATCTTTTTGAATTTCAGGCTGGAAAAATGCTCAATCATCATTTGAAGTTGACCAAGCCAAGAAAAGCCAGCTACAACGATTAAGGGAATCTGGCACAGGGCCGGTGCCCCAAACCTTCTCGTACGACCCAACGAAGCAGCAACCGACCCCAGCCCAACCAATGTCAACAACAACCAAATCTGCCCGCAAGAAAGTTCGCTAGGTGTTTACTAGGAGTGTGTAATTACGAAAAATTTTAAAAAACTGCTGGAGAATTGCTACTTTGTACTCCAGTGCTGCAGTGTGGAGGTCAACATGCTTGCCTTCCAATCCTCCCAGGACCTGTTGTGCTTACTTCTTTTAATACAAACTTGGTACTATTGTTTTCAGTGGTGTGTCTAGGATTATTGACATGGGGTGGGGGGGGGAGAAGCATGAAAGGATTATTGACATGGGGTGGGGGGGGGAGAAGCATGAAGGTTAATTTGTGGAGGCCTTGATGATAAGTGAGGGGACATCAGCTGGCAAAATATAGTAATACAAGGTGATTTTTAACTTCTTAAGCGTAATTGTGGAGAGGGAGGAATTGAAGCCCTTTTTGGGGGGGGGGGGCCTAGTATCATTGCACCTACGCTATTCTTTTGTATTTTATATTATGATGGTTGTGGCACTGTCACAACCAAAACATAATCATCTAAAAATAAATTTAATATGTTTGTTGTATTTTATGACATGTAACTGAGTACAGTATAATAATGTCAACTTGGTGTCAACTTGCCAAAAACAAAATACTATCATTTTAAAAACAGGACCCCAAGTACAATAATCAGTTTTTAACAACAAAATCTTTCCTATAAGGTTTCAAATATCCTGAAGTAGATAAGTGCAAAACAAAAGGAGGTTTTTTGCACTGTTCAAATATGACAGATTGTTATATTATACACTACTAAACAATTAATGCCCTTAACAAGATTTAAACACAAGACACTCCCGCTAAGCCCTGCACACCCCCCCCCCTCCTTCAATATTGTTACTAAGGTGCCACAAAACAATAACGTACCCAAACGTGTGTTTGTAGGGTGCACGCATTCCTGGCCCTGTTTGATTGACACTGGAAAGGTCCATTATCATTTGGTATCTCCACTGAACTAAGAAACCAAGTCATAAATTTTTTTCAAGTTCTTGTTGCACAACCCGCAATAAACTAACAAATCGCACTACTAAACTTGATACCTCCAATTGGTGATATACAAAGATCATAAAAACAAAACCAGTTTATACTGATGAAAGTGTTATTTCATACCAAATTATTTTACTGTACAAAAATTTGCATGTATAATACATAAATAAATAAGAAGACTAACAAAAACAAGCAAATGTGAACACCATTCACATTAAGATTATGTATGACATATTGATTCATATTTCCTGCATAAATAAGCAACACTGCAAACCTGTTATCTATATAAGAGAAAGTGTAAAAGAAACAGGAATACTTTATTAATGTTTCGTAAAAATATATTGCACAAATATCTTAGGGTAGAAATATTAAACGAACAGAAAGACTGGAATACATGCAGCCACTGGAAAATTCAAAATCAAGACCACCGAAAAGTATGATTAGTTGGAGTGAGGGTAAATGATGCTTAAAAACAAGAAGCTGACCCTGTGCAAAACGTTGAAAACAACACATATATAAAAAATGTGAATCTGTACTGCTTCAATGGTCCGCATTAAAACCGGGCACTAACTGCATTCTACGATGGTCGTTCACTCCATGGGAGCGCTCAACGACACGACGCTGTCCGCTGATTGTTGGTGGCAGTCTCAATGGATCGTCATTAAAAATGATCCATTCCGTGCAAGTTGTGGCGTCGCATTCGCCATAGAATTGTGTCGGCGACTTGGCGATTGCCCGGCTTAAGACTCAATTATTTAATAGAATTTCAGTACATGGCTTGAATACAATAAAAATCAAGACAAATTTGGTCTTTCATTTTGTTTTTAACAATTTCTTAATCTTTTATCAAGACAAGGAATATTTATTTATACATGCATCAACTGCTTTATATTAAACACTCATATTTATTGCAGTAAAATATAAGAATATAGTTTCTAACATTAAAGGTGACGAATCATTAGAAAACATTCTTGTAGTTTCTGGATATACCATGGTTCTGATTAGATGGCGCTGCTTGTTTGAAGTATATACTCTGAAAATGAGCTTTTTTATTTTGGCAGGGCTAGATGGACCTACATAACATGCTGCATTAACTCATAAAAACCATATTTCTTATCAGAATTTATTTATTTAATCCATCAATTTCTCCTACCAATAGCCATACAGTGATGGTCCACTTTTTCCACTCTGCTATAGTACTGCTAATAATTTGCATTGTAATCTCCTAGAGCATTTGAATGCTATACTTGTGGCGCCCTCTATAACACATCTACAATAGCATACTATGGAAGCCTGGTGTTCTATCTCATTCACACTTAGCTGATACAGACAGTACTGTGGGGGCCTGCTTGTCTAGGCCCCACTTCTTACCATTTACTACCATCACCACTGGTGTTTCCACCCTTATACTGGGGAACTTGATAACCTACAATGCAAGGAAAACAGAATTACTTGGTGATGGACAAAAATAGAACGTAAATAAGCTTCTTTTAAGTGATTTTAATTCCTGAATAAAATGATTTTAATTCCTGAATAAAATGAAATGAAATGAACCAAAGTTTGAAATACATAATATATTGTCTCCAGCAATATTTTGAAAAATATAACACTAAAACAATATTGATACAGTAATAACATATTAATAATTATTAATAAGGTAAATAAATAGTTTCAAAATATAATTAACAACTATAACAACAATAGTAATCAAATAACAAAAAAATAATCATGAGATAACTAACAAAAAATAAAATATTGATAATGATAATCGGCTTCAACACTAGTCACTAAGTGCAAGCTCGGTAGTCTAGTGGTAGTTATCTGGAGGTCTTCAACTTGTGTTCGATTCCCACACGAATCACCTGCGATTTTTTTTTGCTTGTATTTGGAAACATACTGAGTATTCGGTACGATAATACATCAGGTAGGACAAAACATCACTCCAATGATAATCCTATCATAACTTTTATTACATGACATATGCAGAGTTATTACAATGGATAGCCGCTACCAAATTCATTCTTTACTTTGCGTTTTGAACCTTTTAAAAATGCATTAGTTCACAGTTTTAAATTTTGAAAATACATTTTGAATTTAAACTTGTGTTCGATTCCCACACGAATCACCTGCGATTTTTTTTTGCTTGTATTTGGAAACATACTGAGTATTCGGTACGATAATACATCAGGTAGGACAAAACATCACTCCAATGATAATCCTATCATAACTTTTATTACATGACATATGCAGAGTTATTACAATGGATAGCCGCTACCAAATTCATTCTTTACTTTGTGTTTTGAACCTTTTAAAAATGCATTAATTCACAATTTTAAATTTTGAAAATACATTTTGAATTGAATTAAATAATAATAACAATTAAAAAAAATAGAGATTGCTTATTAAGCCAGGGTTTATATCTCAGTTGAGATCAACTGGTATCCTTATGTGCCCACCATATGGTAAAAACACATTAAATATTCTGTAATTGAAGATGCTGTAACATGGTTAAAGGTGCCCTCAAGCGTAAAGCGATTGTCATGGAGCAGTGCATAAATATATTTAGACGTACGTGCGATTTATTGTGTTCTTAGACTATACATTTTGTTAGACAGGTAATTTTGATTGTTGTGATTTAGCCTGTTCATTGTATATATTTTGGAAATATATGTTGTGTCTCCCGATGATACCCAGTTACTTTTCAAATATAAGGTAATAATTTAAGTACTTGCTTACCTTATCACTAGCATGAA